TGGCCGCTCACGCTGGCTGCTGGCTACACACGGTAGCCCATGGCAACCCACTGCAGCAGGGGCTGCAGCCTTCGCCATCGCCCGAGACTCACGGCAGCCTAGCTCCAAGTTGAGCTATTGTTCAGCTTCTTAGCTGTAGAGGGCAGTGTCACTGGCACTCATATGTGGGATCTGAACCCGGGCCCTCTGGCATCCCAAGCTGGCTCTCAACCAATGTGCCACTCGGCCAGCCTTCATTTAAACTTTTTTGTTTTTGCAAACTTAGAAAATAATTTCTTATTTTAATTACCATTTATTTGACTGCTAATGAGTATGAATATTTTAATATATTCATCATTCATTTATATTTTCTATTCTGTGAATTGCTTGTTCATATCCTTTGTTCATTTTTAATTGTTAGCCATTTTCTTAATTGAAAGAGCATTATATAAATTAATGATATTAGCGGATCAGTTGGTTAAGAGCCCGCTCAAGAGTCCGAGCTCTGAGCAACAGCGGTTCGATGCCCGGCCAGAGCTGAGCTGTCGTTGAGCTGCTAACAGGTGGCAGGGTGGCTCAGCTAAAAAAATAATAATAATAAATGAATGATATTAGCCCTTTTTATCCAATGTATTAACATTTTAATTATTTATTGAGTTTTTTTATATATAGGGCTTTTAATTTTTCTATATTGAAATTCATCCAAAATTTGGTCTCAGTATTTTTTTCTTATCAGTTATTAGAAACAAAATACGAGTTCTCATGACCTAAATTTATTAGACTGCAGCTCTACTAGTCAGTCCTAACTCCTACCTGATATTTTATTTTAGTAATCTTCATTAGGAAATTGTTCTCTGAGCAGACTTTTTTTTAAAAAAAGAAAACCATCTGTCTAAGTCTGTTGGGCTGCTATTCCAAAATACCATAGACAGGTGGCTTAAAAAAACAAACTATTATTTCTCACAGTTCTGGAGGCTGGGAGGCCCAAGGTCAAGGTGCTGCTGATTGTGTGTCTGGTGAGGGCCCACCTCCTGGTTCATAGATGGTTCTTCTCCCTGTGTCCTCACATGGCAGAAGATGCAAGGGAGCTTTCTTGGGCCTCTTTTTTAAGAGCATGAAGTCCATTCATGAGGGCTCTATCCTCATGTCCTAATTACCTCCCAAAGCCCCAGCTCCAAATAATCATCACATGGGGGGTTAGTACTCAACATAGGAATTTGGAGGGGACATAAACATTCAGTTCATTGCACCATCAGTGTATGACAGATGTAAGGACACAGAGATGAAATTTACAATTTCTGTCCTCTCCCTATCTAAAGATGGGACCTGCAAATCATCAGTGACATCACAGTGTGATGGGTGCTAAGATAAAGTGATGTGCAGAGACTCTGAAGACCGTGGAAAACTTTTGGTCTAGTAAGGTGGGAACCAAGGTATCATGGGGAAGGTATTAGAAAGGTTTTCTAGTTGAGGAGGTATTTGAGCTGAGTCTTGTAGAGTACAGAGCTGTCATACAGGTAAATAAGAGGCAAGTAGAGGCATAAAACGGTATGACATTCTGAACAGTAAGATCAGTTTGGAATGGCTGGATAGCAGATGTTCATAGGGAAGTGCTGGGAGATGAAGCACGAGTCGTAGGTGTCTATACCATCTGAAGGGTTGAGGCTCCATTATTAATGTGGTGGAAGATCACTAATTTTTTTTTTAAGTATAGACTGTTATTTTATTGTTTAGTATTTCAGCTTTTCAGAGGTATATGCACATAGTACACAGATAGAACTCTTTTTTTCTTTCCCACCAAAGTCTTGTAAAAAAGGAGTAATGTGATGAAGTTTGTAGTTTAGAAAGATATCTAGCAGCAGTTTGGATGCTGGGTTGGAGGAGGATCAGAATGGAGGCAAGGAGGCCATTAGGAGACTGTCTTGGTGTTCTAATGCTGCACAACAAATTACCATAAAATTAGCAGCTTAAAGCAACACAGATTTGTTACCTAAGAGTTTCTGTGCATCTGGAGTTGGTTATGACATGGCTGGGTTCTCTGCTCAGGGTCTCACAAGGCTGAAATCAAGGTGTTAGCTTTTTTTCTGGAAACTCTTGGGAAGAATCCTCTTCCAAGCTCATTTAATATTGTTGACATAACTCAGTTCCTTGGAAACAAGATCGCTGTTTCCTCGATCTCTGTCAGCCTGGGAGCTGTCCTCACTCCTAGAGCCTATCTGCATTCCATGTCACGTGGCTCTCTCCATCTTCAAACCAGCAACAGCACTCCGAATCACTGACTCCTCTGTCTCTAACCCAGGTGTAAAGGGTCAGGCCCACAGATACATTTTTTTCTTGAAGTCATCTGTGCCTTATAATAAAACCTAATCATGGGGTGAAATCTGTCATATTCATAGTCCTGGGGATTGCACAAAGCCTATACCAGGGGACGAGGAATTTTGGGAACCATCTTAGAATTCTGTCTACCACAGAGACTATGGCTGTTATCCTAACAGGAAGCGGTGAGGGCCAAAACTAAAAGAAAGAGGATAGAGATAAGGGGGCAACCTTAAGAGACCAGGGCTTCGTGACTGAATGTGAAAGAGACAGGAATACAAGATAACTTTATGGTTTTTGGCTTGTGTACCAAGGTGGAGTGGTATTACCAATTACACTAATTTGAGGGAAAAGATGATGACTTTTTTTGTTTTTGTTTTTGTATTGACTGTATGATGTAGCCTTGAGTTATCAAAGTAGAGATACCTTGGTAGTCAGAAAGACAGATATATACACTGTTGGTGTTTGGATAAAGGTTTGGAGTTGACATCTTGTAGAGTGTGTCCAAGATAAGGAGACCAAGATTTGAGCTCTGGTAAACACAGAGGAAAACAATGAAGGACGTTTTTAGTGGTAGAAGAAGAATAATGTTTGGTGTGGTCAAGAGAGGGGAAAGCTTTAAGACAATGGGAATGGTGACTTGCATTTGACACAGTGATTTGTAATAGACATCTTTAACTCTCAGCTCTATCATCTGATTCTCTACTGATGCAGGAAGTGAGGGGAGTGGAACCCAATTCCTATAGACTGTTTGCAATGTGTATGGGTTTTGGAGGTTGTCATAATGATTGGAGGGCACTTAGTAGGCTGGGGCTAGGGATGCTGAACTTCCTACAGTGCACAGTACAGCCCCAAACAAGCCCAAAATTTCAGTAGCATCTCTGCTGAGAAATATAGTGCCACATGTCTATTTTGGTCCCTCCACTCCACTGGTCACCAAGGTCATTTAACTCTTATCTTCTAAACGTCTGGAATCTAGCTCCTTTTTCCTTCTCAAGCCACTGCCTTAACTGAGGATCTCACTGTTTCCTGTTTGGACTATTCACATAACTTCCTACCTTCCTACCTGTCCTCCATGACCCCTGGAGCCATGGCTCTAAAATAAGAAACTGTATTATGTCATTTCCCATTGCCTGTAGGTTAAAGTCAAAATTCTTAAAATGGAAAAAAAAAAAAAAAAGAGTCCCTTCAAGATCTGGCACTCAACTGTTTTCTCACCTCTGTATATATCTGGTAGTCCAGCTACAGACCTCTCCACTTTCCTGAAAGAAATCCTCCCTTTGTACCCCTGTATATGCCAACGCACATTTCCTTTTGTCTGGACTATCACTTCCCTTTTCCATCTAGAGAACTCCTTCCTTTCAAGAAGCAGCTCTTATGCCACCTACTTTACCACCACAATCAGCCCCTCCCCTGTCTCTAATTTTTTTTCTACACACTCTGCTATTGCACTTATCTGTGCTGTGATATGTATTTGTTTACATTTTTATTTCCTCTCCTAGTCTCTGAGGACCTCTCAGCAGAAACCCTATCTTCTTTGTTTCTCCAGCACCCTAGAAATCTGTAGAATTAACAGTTCTTCTACTTTCTTAGTTTTGCTTTCTGTTAGAGAAACTTTGGAGTCAAATATAGATACATCAGTAATTAATCTGAATCACACACTGGGAAATCACCGTGGATACCCTTTAAGGATTCTGTTTTTTTTTTTTTTATTGCTAGTGAGTAAAATAGATGCTTATTCTGTGATATAGTACATTAGTGTTAAAGTGTTCAAACATGATATTTAGTAGGCTTAGCGTGAATCTTTGCTGACATTTGAGGTCTGTGACATTTCCTGCATATTCTTTTGTGACTGGAAGGCATAAATGATTGACAGGAAAAGAGCAATTAATATTCCAAGTAAAACATTTTTAGGAGTGTCTACCTTTACTGCTTCCGGATGAGAGTGCACCCTGTTTCTATGTGTTTCAAAGATGATTTCAGTGTTTTGGTTAATTTAAAAAAACAACAACAACAAAATGACACTTTTGTGAATTTTGCAAGATGGGCAGAAGTGGAATTTTTGAAAGTCTGCTTTGTTAATTGGTAGGTGCCATATTTTCTCTTGATTTGACAGTTATCTAGACTTTTTTTTTAATTTTTTATGAAACATACTGTTCTTAATGCCAGGTTATGTTGTTTACTGAGTGAGTACTACCTCTGCCATCCAGCAGAGCGAAATATTGGAGGTAATCATTAACTCTCTCTCTCTCTCTCTCTCTCACTACCTGTATATTTTTGTTTCCTTTTGAAACTAGGCGAGTGTTGTATATAAGGGAAGTTGAAATCCTCAAAATTATGTCCATAGACTGGCAGTATTCATTTGAAGATTTTGTATTGCCTCCTACTGTCAGTGAAAATCTGCTAAACATTTCAGTTAAGGTAAGAAAACGTGAATCAGTCGTTGAGCCAAGAATTTGTTAAGTGAGTGGAAACCAATACTTCTTGACTTTCTTTTACAGTTAACTACACAAAATGTTTGAAGGATTATTATTTATTGAAATGTAAGGAAAGATATAATCAATTTCTTTGGGTACTGTACTGTATTTTCTGACCGCCCTTGATTGCATTGAGTGAAATATCAATTCTATCATTGAAAGGATTAGGATGCTGATACTTCCTTTTGGCAGAATAAAGCATTAGTAAATAGAAGGTTTTCTTAACCTTCATATGGATACCTATTTTGCTACAGCCCTAGATACTTCTGGAAAGATTCCCCTTTTATGGCTTTTATGAGATTATTATAGATATTGTCTAAAACACCCATGTTTTATAGTATTTGGCATTTACATAATGCTAATACGAGTGTATAATAATACTTTCATGTCTTTCCTCCCTGTCATTTTCTGAGGAAAAAATTTTAATTACATAGTTAATTAGCAAAGGTGATACCCCATCTTTTGCTTAGTTCTCAGACTCACTTTAATTTGAAATGTATAATTTTATTATATATATTATAAATTTATTTTTACCTCTTTAAAAAAACTAAAAATTGTCATTCTAAAGATGGTCATTTCTATAGTATATTTTCTCCTAAACAATAATGATGTTATCTCTATTACTAAAACTATCTGAAAAACATTTATAAAATTCAGTAGTTAGAAATGCAAGTACTATTATTTTTTTAATTTGTTTTCTTTTCATAGAAGTTTATAAATAAAAGAAACTACCATGAAACTATTCTATTTTGTATCTCAGCCTTACCTCTTCGTAGAGTGTCAAAATTTTTAAGAGTGCCTTAGTATATAAAACATAGTTTTCAAGCTAGGGGAGACTGTGTCACTATGCATATATATTACATTTTCCTCAGTTGACTAAATGTAGTTTACATTATGTAAGAATTTTATCTATCAGCCAGGGAAATGAAAGAATGGTTTTTTGATTCGTCAGATGGGATGAGTTATCAAGTGGTGTTTCTGTAGGTTATTTATCACAGCCTGCAAAAAGCCAATATTTTATACAGATGTATACTCATCAAGTTTCATAAATTCTAAGAATTCAAATATGGGGCGACTGTTCTGGTACCAAAATTATTTCTTTCTTATCATACTTGACTCTGTATTTAGCTAGTCTACTGGTTATAAAAGAGAGTGGACATTTCAAGATGCAATTAAAGATGATGATTTTTTTTTTATTCTCCAGAATAATTTTTCTGTCACTGTTTCTTTTGAAATAGGATCAGAGTCTGTTCCACAAAAAACACAGTGCCAATGAAGGCTATCTCCAGAAAATTTACCTGCAGGATACTACCACAGCAGAGGTAAACAACTTATTATAAAGATTGTCCCCTCAGTTTTTTAGCTGAATGATGAAAAAAAAAACCTGTTATAATTAACAATTAAAATAATACACTGTGTGCTTAGTAGGTCAGAGGAGTGTTATTTTGTATTGCATGTATGGACTGTGTATTCTTGTCCTTAGCAAGTGGAACTGTGGGGAAAGCTCCAACTCTTGCTTTTGTACCTTTTTCCTCCATCAAATTAGCCTGTACTTCACTCTACCATTTACAATAAATACTTTATTTACAGAGAGCACGTCGTGCCATTGAGGATGCACAGTCAACGCGATACCAGCAGACACTGATGAAGCGATCGTCACGGAAACGTCTCGGGCCTCAAATGCCACTTTAATCGCAGATCTCAGGGGACTGCCACTGGGAGGAGAGCCAGTCATCAGTCTCGTCCACACATCACTCTTCTGTATCTTACTAAAGAGACCTTTCAAGCAACCTTTAGTTTTAGAATTTCTATCTAGAATAGCTTATATTGGGTTTTCCATTTTTTTCCCCTTTAGTTTGATTCTAATTTTGTAACCATGTGTCAGTAATCCACTCAACTTTACCATCTGTATGGATCAGACTCTCAAAGAAATATCATTTTAAACTCAGAATGAAATTTTCATTAATGTTAAAATTGTGAAGCAAAGGGGTGTAGATTTGTTTTTAATTAAAGTCCTCACTGAAGAATAAGAAACGAGCTTATGAAGAGTAATGTTATTTGAGAGGTTTTGGACAAACCTTTGAACAAATATTGGGTATTTTGTTTAAGGGTAATTTGTTCAATAACTGAACAGAGATAACATTTTTGGTAAACTAGGTAATTGACTGAAGAAAAGCCGCTAAAGGGAGAGATGACATTTCCTATTTTCTTTTGATGAAAACATATTTCTCCTAATAAAAACGTGTTTTACTCTGGTGTTTGCACTGTAATTTTTCTTGCTTGCACTATAATGTAAAGACATGGAAAATCAAACCTTAAAATATCAATACTCTTCTCTGTACTGTAACATGCACAAAGTTTTGAAAACTAAATACATGCTCTTTCAGGATGAATTTATATGGCACAATTATATATGGCACAAAATATTGCACTTTAAGTTTTTGATAGTTAGAAATATGAAAAATTTAATATTTTTATATTTCCAGTAATTGTTTTTTATAAGTTGAAAGATTTTTAAGGGCATCATAAATTAACATTTAATTGTAATGGTATTAGGAAGAATAAAATCTCTCTAGTTGCTTTATATATAAGTAAAATAAGGCATATATAGCAACATTGTGGAAAATAATTGGTAGTTGTATTGTTTGAGGGAGCAGGCCTATGAGAATCAGTTCAATACAATATTATTTTTGTCCATTCTTAATCTCGCTTATGCTGATTAGAGATATACTGACGAAAGCTTTTTAAAAATTTTCAAAAGTACTTAATTTCCTTAGATGAACCTTTAAATTTGCTCATGGTTTTAAACATGGCATTTATTTCAAGTCCCTGAATTGATGAAATGGAGATATGGGCTCATTTGGTTTGCTCTGTTTTTGTTGATGTGTGGTAATATTTCTACTATCTTTAATTCATGTTTTTTAAGACTTGCCTTAAAGCTTTAAAATTTTTCCCTAATTATTGTTTTCTGCATACTCCAAAAAAAAGAGGATATAATAACTAATCTCCTAAACATTTGATCTCTCATACAGCATAGTGGTCTTTGCCTTTTCAACATCATTATTTTTTTTTCCCGTGAAGAAAACTATCATGTGTAAAACTTTTAGGTTTAAACAGAATTTCTTTATCAGTGTTTAATTGCAGTTTATTAAAAGGAACATTACAAACAGAATTTCATAGGAAGTATGCTAGTATTGTGTCTTTAAAACTGAGTTAATCAGGAATTTGAGATATCTAATTATTTTTCATATGAATCATAGCTATTGACAATGTCCTAAATATTTAAAAAATTGTATTGATGGCATGTACAAAACATTGAACTAAGAAAAATTTATAGACACTTATACATTCATCATCTCAAGTTATTTAGAAAATAAATTTTCAAATATTTATAACTTTGATTTAGTCCTCTGGGACAGAAATAATTCATTGGTAAAGTGTAATAATGTCTTTTGTGTTTTTAAAATGCTTTGAGAATTAATTCCTTGCATATGAACTACTGGGAGAAATAAAACATTTGGTACATTGTTTAAAGGTGTGAAAACTTCGTGGGTTTGTGTTAAATATTCAAATAACATTTGCTTTTACTTTTTATGTCTTTCCCTTTTCCTCTTCCAATCCTGTAATAGTGAGAAGTTAGATTAGTGGTTATGGAGGGCTTTATAAGATGATAGTCAGGGAAAAGTTTTCCTGGGGGTACAGAGCCCTTTACCACATTGGAGATTGGTGGCACAGATCTCCAATACAGGAAGAATACAGAGAACATATCCCAGCTGCCACACTTTTGAAATCATAGCTGGATTTGCATTGAGGACGTGCCTTTTATGATTTCTGTCAGCCACTGTCTGAGAACGGCAAGGATAGTAGTGCAGCCCTATTCCTAGGAGACACAGAGCTCCTCTGACAGCCGACCTGGGCTTGAAGACTCTTCAGTAGCCTTGCGGAAACTTGCTTAGACTGCATGGCAGTCTGGTAGGCTTCTACCCAATTTATCAGTCTCTCACTTTTTTTTGGTCTCAACCCCCACCTCCTCCTGGGAGGTCAGTGAGTAGATTTTCTTAGATGTGCTTCATGATTTAGTATTGTTTTTGTTTTGAATTAAGTATGGGGGAGGACACGATCATCTGTTTGGTGCTTTGGGCCTCTAAGTGTATTGATCTGGTGCTACCTGTATCTGTATTTTTAACAGTGCTCCACATGTGTTTCTAAGGTACAGCCAGGACTAAAAATTAATGCTGTTGAAAAGCTGCAAATATCAGTGGCAGTTAAAATACAGAGTTGCTCTTATTGCCAGAGCTAGAAGAACCATCTTTTTATTGGGGAGGAAATGAAAGATTCTTAAAGGATAGGAGATTATTCATATCAGAATCATCTATCCTTGAGGGACAAGCCCTTTTGCTTGAGCATCATCACCAGAGTGCCCACTAATACTGATGAAAGTGGGCTGTGTGCCGTGTGTGTTGGCTCTGAAAAGAAATGGAAACTTCCTAGGGCAGAGGGAACACGTTTCTCTTGGTAAACTGCCTATGGTATAAGAATTTAGGCTTATTGTTCTTGAGTGCATGCTTGAAAATTCTTCACTCACAAGGCTGTGTCATTCAAGTACTCAACGTTGTGGGTCTCTTTGAGCTCAAAAAGCCTTCAGAAAGGCTGTTCGTACTTTTTTTACGTAGTACAGGCCCACAATCCCTTACCAGAATTCAAATAGCTCTGAGAACCAAAAGGCTTTTCATAAGTTTGAAGCAAAAGACATTTGATAGTAAATTCTGAACTGAACTGACATGAGGCTATTTGTGGCCTTTATTCTCTTTGGTGTAAATGAGTTTGGCTGTAGCAAAATTAATCTATTTGATTATGGGTACCACGGCTTCATTGGAAGTGTACATGCTATGTGGCATATGAAACATCCTGCTCTCCTAAAATTTGAAAGGTTCTGTATTCTGAAATACATCTGGTCCCAAGGGTTTCAGGTGAGAGATTGTAGATCTGTATAACTTCAAGTGTTCAAAGTAATTGATGTCGACATATAGGAGACAGAAGTGTTGTCATGATAACACATCATAAAGATTTATGAAAACTCTGGAGAAAAAAAATAGTAGAACATAGTCATGATTTTTATCCCCCTTGTAGATTAAGTAAATACCTGGTAGGTGAAAGGTTTTTAGAATTGATATCTAGTGTGGAAATAATTAGAATTGTAATGAAATAAGTGAACATGGTCCTCCAGGTTGATAGTATCCATTGAAATAATAGTGGACACTTTACAAAGAGGATTTAGTTTTGTAATATTGTTTTTAACTTGAAGAACAACCAAGTGACTTCCCCAGAGATTGACTATAAAGCTTAAATGTTCCCAGTTGTGGTTTAAATTCTGTGATAAGTAATTTTCATCAAAAATAGATTTCAGATATTGGTCTTTAAATTTTACTGGTTTTGTAGAAAAGTTATGCCAGTTTTTCTCTCAGACAAACCACTTTCCCTTTTGTCATTTTCATTTAAGCCTTCTTTATACATCATTTGTTATATCTTCTTTTTATGGTACCTCTTTAAATATTATTAAATTCTCTTTATTAAGTATATATTATACCAGTGAATGGCAAATTACAGCCCATGGGCCAAATAATCTGTTCTTGTAAATAAAGTTTTATTAGACCACAGCCGTACCCATTCATTTGCATTGGTCATGGCTATTCCCATAATACAATGGCAGAGTTGGGTAATTGTGTCAGAGACAATATGGCCGGCAAAACCTAAAATATTTACTATCAGACCCTTTACAGAAAAAGTTCATCAACCTCTATGTTATAATTAATCTTACAGATGGGACAGAAACAAGACACTAAATGATTTACCCAAGATCCTATGGTGAGATAGGAGCTGAACTAATCCAACACCTACCAGCCTCTCTCTCTTATCTCCATCTCTTCCTCTTCTTTCTTCCTGGAAGCAAGGATACTTGTGTCGAATTTGAATGAATAT